TATCAAAGTGGGAAGTGATGCCCTCTGGGGGCATTTGGCCAGGGGTGTTTTTACACCACAGACAAGGTTTGAGAAGAAAAAAATCATTATGAAAATATAATTATATTTTCCTTAAATGTTCTTCCTAACTTCAGGCCTTATTCTCATGTCATATATAACTTTGATGTTCTGCAAAACAAGGTTTAAAACACTTTTTTCTTACTGGTGAAAATCAGATGGTCAGATCTGTTTTCTCTCAGGTACATCGCAGTGTAAGCTTCATAGTGAACATTACTACATCACTCTCGTCAACGTAGAACATATCAACAACAAAAATATATCTTGACTCCATATAGTGGTTATTTTGGGAAAATCCCAGGTATTTTGAGCAGTAGGATCATAAAAAATATGTGCTAATATAAAATTTTATTAAGTAGCCTATATAAAATTGCTAAATAAATCTATCAGTACTTTTTTACTTAAGTACATACAAAAATGAGTACTTTTGTACTTTCACTCGAGTAAAATTGAAAAAGGAGAACTTTTACTGGAGTAATATTTTATTATAGGTATCTGTACTTTTACTCAAGTACTTGATTTGTGTACTTCGTCCACCACTGGAAAAGGGAAAACCAAAATGCAAAGAAACTAAACTGACGAGATTGTGACAGTGATATTTGTTAGTGTTTTAGGCCTACGAAACAAAAAGCTTTAGGTAACTTGTCACGATCTACAGCAAACAGTACCTGAGGGTTATCAATATTCCAATATAAAAATCACCAATTACTTACTAAAAATGTAAGCTTAAGCTTAATCCAAATGACACCATAAGAATTTCCAAATTTCAGAAAAAAATATGTACAACAGCAGAACAGTTGGAATTGAAGAAAAAAAAACCCACAATAACATTGTTTCAACTGTAATAAAATATCACTGGTCAGTCACAGCAAATGTTTTTGACAGTTAATAATTTGCATATTTGTTTCCACCTGATTATTAATAGACCATTAGTTTGTGATTTTTGCTTTGCTGCATCATGCTGGGTGTGAAAAGCCATAACATTGCAATTACTTGGCCTTTTCATGATTTAAATTATGATTCAAGCTGTAGACAGTGGTAAGCCTGTATTAAAATCACTGTTGACATTTTCTTTAGACAAAAATGGATTACTTGATTAAGAAAGAAGTTGAAGAGGGACCTTCAAAACATCTGAAGCAGGTCAATCACTTAACATACTATATTCAAAATTAATAACCATTGATTACAGACATTTCTTCAGCGGAATTAACTTGAATGTTTGTGTACATAACAGATTATTTTTTTCTCTCCTTTCAAATTTTTACAGGAAACAGAAGCGAAAAAACACAATTTCAAGTTTTCTTTAAACTCTAAGACATTTTCAGTGGCGTGTAAAACATTCATGACTGTGCTTGAGGCTCTTAATACAAGCCCAATTTTCAGGAGTGAAAAAGACAAAAACAAAAACATGCAGAAAGAAATACTCATCCAAAGATCAAAAGGAGCAGTTCCTAGGGCAGCTGTGAAGACTGATTTTCCCTGCTGTCTTATTGAAAGAGATGAGATCTTAGACATAGACTTCATCCAAAAGGATGAAAATAGTTCTACAAATCAAACAACTGTAGATCCTTCACTCCTCGGTAAAAGAAGTAAACCTGAAACATTAGTCACAATCTGGGTTAAAAAAGAAGGAGGACCAAAAGTGCAATGCTTACTGAAGAGCAAAGCCCTGAGGAAGAGTGTTCGCTATGTTTGTGTGTTTGGATTCAAAGGAGAGAAAGTCAAAACTGCTCTTAAACGTGATGGACGATTCAACAATGTCATTTTCAAGAAACACTGTGGACTTTCTGAGCTTGGTGGGGATACAAACCATGAATTGTCAATACCTGTAGAGGATCTTGAAGGAAAGTCTTTCCAGGTAGTTGTTCTTAGTGACCAGAATCAGCCAGACAGTCAAGATGATTTGACTTTTGTCAAGACTGAAGCTAATGTAGCTTCAGATGCTGATGTGGCAGAAACTGCCGGCTCAAGTCAGAATCCCATCAACACTGAGCGAGACAAGAAACAAGATGGAAATGCAAAGTCCATGAATCCTTCAACTAAAGGGTATGACACTAAACCTATTGTAAATTCTGAAGAGATTCTGGGAATTCTGCGTGATCAGTTTAAAGATTTACTGGATACATTAAAGCAGCGAGAGAAACTAAAGAACAAATCTGAGGTCCAAAGGTTCTTTAGAGAAGAATATGGTAGAAGTGTTGAGAATTTCTTGGAAGTGAAGAAAGTGAAGCAGCTTATGAAGCTCTCTGACTCTGTGTGTCAGATTCGAAAGGGGGGGTCTCCTGAAGGAACTGGTTTCTTGCTCTTCGACAGATTCATCCTCACTAATGCTCATGTTATTGGGATATTTACTGACCTTACGAAAGTTAACTTTGCAGAGTTCACAGCCGTTTTTGATTATGAAGACATGGAGTCAGAGAAACGCATACAAATTAAACAACTCACAGATTACTGTTATAGAAAGGATGAGCATGGAAGACATCTTGACTATGCTCTTCTTGAACTCGATGACAATAATGACATTTCTAAGTACCATCAATTGCTTTATTCTTACAGTCCAAACCTTCCTAATAACAGATGTCAGATCTGCATTGTGGGGCATCCAGGTGTGGGAGTTAAGAAAATGGACCCCTGCATTATCATTGGAACAGAAAGTCGACTAGATGCAGAAGAAAAACACAAAACTGAGAATGTAAATGTCATTAATGTCATGACACGGAAGTCTTTGGAAGAGAAATGGGACTTTCATAAAAACCAGATTACTTACAACTCTTGCTTTTTTCACGGATCTTCTGGCTCTCCAGTTTTTGATGCAGACTGCAATCTGATTGGTATTCACACTGGCGGCTATGTGTACGAAGGACATGGAAAAACTACTAAGAGTGTTATGGAATACGCCTATTCCATTCAGCCCATTCTGAATATGATCAAAGCACAGACTAAGATAAAAGGTTTGCTTGAGATCGTCAAAATCTTAGAACCCTACTGTGATCAAAGCAATGTTTCTGAGACTCCCAAGGCAACAGAATTAGACTGACTGTGCGATGGACAGTGCCGAAGAGCTTTCGATGAAACTGTCCACACGTCTGTGCCACCATTTTTTGGGGGAGGAAGTGACTGCAAAAACTTAATTTCTGAGAGACCTAAAATAGAGATGATTGCGTGTTCGGAAGCAAAGATACATTCTGTTTCTCTCATTTTTGACAAATGTAAAGTCATGTACCTCACCTGCGGGTTATTTTAGGTCTGACTCATGCCAAGAGACCAAGAACAGTGAACATGATTCATTTGGCAAAGACCAAAGATATAGTTATAGTTCATTATTTATTGTATTTTCTTTACATTGTCATTCATACATACTTGTGTATGCATATATATTCATATACATACTCATTTAACATAAATAATTCACTCATATATTCTTTATATTCTTTTTACTTTATATTTGTGTTGATATTTTATACTGATTTTAAATAGATTTACATTGATCTTAATGTTTTGCTCTTGCTGTCATGTTCAAGCTTCCACATCATCTTTGAATCACACAAATACACCAAATTATTTAATTTGACAGAATTGCTGTAATATGAGACAAGAATACACAACTACAATCAAAGGTGTATCTCCATTACAGTAAATACATTTAGAAACTTCTTTGAGTTTACTGAAGGGTAATGTTCAGCAAATCAATGTTCTTCATGCATTCATGATAAATATAGATGTAAATGACATTAATGTTTGTCCCACTTACATTTATTATTCCTCTGGCGTGTGCCTTGTCTGATGCATGTATTAGTGTTGGTGTGTGTTGTTTTGCTTATTTATCACGTTGAGAAGCTTCTAAGATCTTCAGTTTGTTGGGCCTGGAAAATGTTGTGAATGTCCTGTAGAGAAGGAATGCAATCATAATTAATACAAATTTAATATTTTAAAATAATCTCACTGATTAAACTCTGAATGAACTGTACAATTGTAAAATGAAAACTTAGCAGTTTACATCTTAAATTACAACAAATACCCCATGAAAAGGCTTGATGAACGCAGGTTTTTCCTATATTTTCTGTTTTAATATAAAGTGATGGTTCACTCAAACCAGTATAATTTACTTTCATTTGCAGAACACAAGAAGATATTTTGTAGTCCAAGATCATTATTTTATGTTATACTCCTAGGAAGCTGGTACTGTGAGGACCCTTCCATCAGGTCCTGCAGAAAGGGATGCTGGGACAGCGTGGAGAAGGGAATCTTCTCCTCACCCTTAAAAGCCAACTCCTTAATCACCTTCTGCAGCTCCTGAACACAACATCACATTAAATGCAGCTCCATACAGACCCTTGTCAAAGTCCCTTTAAGAGAAGTCACTGGGCGGCCATCTTTGAAATGCCTTTCAGGCATGCAAGTGCAGCTCTCTTAGCTTCTCTTTGAATGGGGAAACATCAAATTCTCCAAAACTGTTTGCCAAGCTTACGATTAATTTCATATTTGAAACCACCAGTAAAATCTGACAACAACTGTCTCATAAATGTTGTTTCTTTTGCTCAAATAGCGTTAAACAAAGCTTATTTTTCAGGCTAGACCAGCCAATGCACATGTGCAGTCCTAATCGCTGACTATTTTTATAGCAACCAGGAATTCTAACGGCAGCTGCAGTGACGCGATGAATCGTACCCATTAGCTATTGGCTCTTTTACTCAGAAGGTGGGGCTTCCTTCAATAGAGCGGCCATATTGAGCGTTGCATTTTTCCCCATTCAAAACTATACGAGTGACACGTCTAGGGTATTCTATAGACTTTGCCCTTGTTTAGACCATCTACTGGTCTACAGAATCACAGTTTATGTCGCTCTATTCCAAAACCAAGTGAAATACTTTCCAGTGAACTACTATCTAAATCTACTGGACACAAAGTTTTCACAAATAGACCTACATTTATGAGACAGTTATGAGTGACTAACACACACACACACCTTGATTGTTTAATATTTGTTAGCTATGTTTTATACATTTAAGTATTTTTGCCATTTTGCTTGCCATTTTAAATTAAAAATGCTTCCTATTGGTTAAAATGGTTCAAATGATGTAGGGTGAATTTGGGTTGCTGGGATCTTTTGGTTTTGGAACAGAGTTGTTATATTCTACCTCTTTGAATTCATCTCCGCTCCTGTGGTTGGGCTGGAAGCGGTTCAGATGTGAGGAGATGTGATCATCTCCATGACTCAGAACTCTGAGCTCATCATCGACAGACACGCCCACTTCATCAGACTCCACCCCTCTCTCCTCCTCTTCATCAGCAGCATCACACTCCTCAACTCCAGCACCCTCCATATACAGCACAGACTACAGCAGTAACACAGCGGTTTAAAACAAAAAATCAGAGTGAACCTCATGAAAATACATTTGAAATATTTCACAGTTTAAGTAATATATTATTTTTGTGCATTACAGCAATGAGAATAAGTAAATTAAGCAAGATTAATGTGCTTAGTTGAATTAAAAATGTCACAATGCAAATAATAAAGGTTCTAAAAACGGTTTTCTTTTGATTTTGGGGTGAAAGATGACAAGTTCTCTTCAAGCTCTTCAGCTCAGAAGAGTGAACCGTGTCATACTGTGTGTGTACCTGTGTGAGGGGGCTGGTGTGTTTATAGTGCAGTGTGTGTCCGATCAGGAGGCTGAGGGCTCTGGTGAAGCCCTGAGCTGGTTCAGGATGGCAGCAGAAATACAGCAGCATGCTCAGATAGTCCAGCATCAGCGGAGATGAGTGTGTGCTCGCAAACAGACTGAAGGAAAACTATACACAGAAACAAGGAAAACAACCACATATATGTTCATACACATATTATCTGTTCAGAACATCTTTTGGGAAACATAGTTGCAATCAAATTTAAAGGAATATTTTACAAAAAAATGAAAATGTGCTTAAAACATTTCCTCAGTCCATTCAAGATGTAGATGAGTTTGTTTCTTCACAGAAACAGACATGGAGAAATTAGCATTACATCTCTTGCTTGCCAATGGATCCTCTGCAGTGAATGGGTGCCGCATGAACGAGTTCATGCAGCTTTTCACTACACAAGACATTGATGGACTGGAGTGGTGTGGATTACTTGTGGATTATTGTGATGTTTTTATCAGCTGTTTGGACTCTCTTTCTGACGGCACCCATTCACTGTAGAGGATCCATTGGCGAGCAAGTGATGCAATGATACATTTCTGAAATCTGTTCTGATGAAGAAACAAACTCATCTACATCTTGGATGGCCTGAGGGTGAGTATGTTTTCAGCGAAGCAAATTTTCATTTTCGGGTGAGCTATTCCTTTAATGCATTTAATCAGTTATGTTTTACTGCATTAAAGGGGTCAAATTATGAGGATTCAAGTTATTCTTGATCTTTTGAGATATTTAAAAAAACGTCACAATACATCTTTACAAAGAGGCTGTTACTGAAAGATGGGAGAGTTAGACAGTTGCGGCAAAAAAAAAGAAAAAAAAATTATATGACCCCATTTAAAGTAAAAAAAATCCTTTAACCTGCTGCATTATCTTCTTAAGATTAGCTAGTTTGTTATAAGGTAGAGGTTCAGTTGGATCATCACAGACAGGAAGATCTCTTTTACTGGGAAACCACAATTCAACCTGATTATAGAACAAAACATGTTAAATTGAACTTATAGGCACATATAAATGTAGCAATATTATATAAATGAGGCTTGCTTTCATTCATTTTAACTGTATAAACAGCATGCAGCTGGAACAAAATGAACTATAGAACCATATTTGAATTATTAAAATGCTGTAAAAGTGATTGCACTAAACAAAAAATCTGTTTGTTTAATAGGTCTAATGTTTCAGTGACGCTCTATGAGTGTAATAAACCTGTGTGTATTATTCTTGTGTGATGAGTCCAGTTCCTGCTGTGTCGACGCCTCTGTAGTGCTGAAGGGTTTTTAACAGCTGAGTCTGAGAGGGAAACGGCCACGGCAGAGCTGCACTGAGCAGAAACTGACGCCAGTCCAACATCTCAGAGTCCTGAGCTAATGCACACACCAGCTCATCAACCTACACACACAATAGCACATGTTATCATGTGAGTACAAACAGGCTTGCATGTAAAGGCGCAGTCACATTAATGCATTTTCAGCAAAATCTTGAGGGCAAAAAGGTCCACTGTCAACAGTGTAGCGACGAATGAAGCTCACACAGAAGTCACTTTCATACCAAGCAGTTTTCTGTTAGTCAACGCAGTGAATTTGAGTGACAAACTTAAAAAAGTTCTGAAATCTGTGTGGGGAAATCTTTCACCATTTTTATATACCCAAGCCAAAGCAATGAAGACACTTTTAAAATTAATCAATTTCACCCACTTCCTTAAGCAGTGGTTGGTTGGGATGAATGATTGCTACCAAAGACACAGCAAACCATGGAGGAGTTTATAATTTAGGTTAGAGCTGTACCTGTGAGGGAGTGATATGCATCCAGGGTTCAGGCAGGACATCACTACCCATGTGAGGAGAGGTTAACTCGTGCAGAACTTCAGTCAACTCATTACTGCACACCAGACCTGGACACATCACACAATGCACAAAAAACAAAATACAGTTACTGGATTCTACTGGAACATGTTGCATTCAGTTCTGCTCGGCTCTGTTTTAACTGTTACGTCCTTCGACGTAAGTTATTATTTTTATTTATTTGCATTATGTATTGTATATGTTGTATTGTGTGCTACGGATTGTGCTCAGCTCTCTCCCTCTCCCTCTCCCCTTCTGGCAGCGCTTGATTGGGACCAGCTGCAGGAGATTGCGTGGTGAGCCGGAGCGTTTAAAAGCTGGGAAGCAGAGCAGCGATGGAGAGCTTCTGTAGTGTGCGCGTTGTGAAGCTCCGCCGCGGGTGTCGTGCCGTTCCGTCCACTGTCTCCTGCCCCAGACAACAGTTGGTTGTGTAGTGTTGTTAAACGACGGTGTTATAGTGTGGGTAACCATTCTGAGTGGCGCTGCGGAAACACCGTTTCCTGAACTGCAAGGACTAAGCTATAGCCTATCTGAGTCCTCTGTAATCCGATCCTTAAGAGTTCTTTTGGTTGTTAGCTAGTATTCGTTATTTGTAAACACCTATTCGTTAAGTCTTCGTTATTTGTAAACCCCTATTTGTTATTTCTGAAGCAGTAGGTTGGGGATTGCCATTTATTTTGTGAACGTCGTTTTCTCCTGTTTTTTGGCCAGAGAGGGAGTTAGGGAAGACCTCTGTATTTCTTTTGGGAATTTTTATTTGTTAGGCTATTTGGGCTTCTCTAAACCCTTAGTTTCCCTTTGGTTTGTTATTTTGGCATGGATCCCCTTCCGAAGAGATGTGCTTCCAAACGTCAATTTAAAGATGTAATAAACAAACTTTTGCTTGTGAATAAGCCTCTATTGTGGTCA